TGAGTGAGCGAAAGCCGGATGCCTAGAGTGAGCAGCGGCCTAGAGTGAGTGGAGGCCGGCTTGAGTGAGCGGCGGTGGGCAGGCTTGAGAACGGCACGGCCGGCAGATTCGACGAAGGAGCGGCAACCACATGTGACGACCGCATCATATGACCCCTTTAATAATAGACCAGATGAGTGATACCTCAAGAATGAAGGATAATTATGTCTCTCTTCCTCTCTTGTTTGATTATAAATAGTCTTTATGGTCTCACTGTACCCTTTTACTGAGGGGTGGTTCTATCAGCCTTCAGTCTGCCAGCATGTTATTTGTGAGTGACAGGTGGAGGTCTTATTTAACCCTTGTGTGTCAATTAAAAAAAGTTACACATAGGTTCATAGAGGAAAAAATGTCCATGTCCAAAAACTGTCATAAAAATTTGAAGCTTGGGAGTACAGACTTAAGTTTGGTCTGTATTACAGATTATTGTTGAAGTTAAAAAAAAGTTGTAAAAATTTAAACCAAAAAAGTTATGTTTATGTTTATGAAAATGATTTATGAGCACTTTTTATATAAAATATATATTTTATAAAACATGTTGAACACAAAAATTGCTAGAATATCAAAGCCATAAATCTAAACAAGTTGTGTTCCAAATTTGAGGTTGATATCTAAAAAAAATGAGCTTTTAGTAAGATTTTGTTTGGGTGCAGTACCAAACTTTTCCCATTAGATTGTTGCCGCTGGCATAAACAGTGGTGGGATTTGTGATTCGCAGTACAGTATAATTTCTCTCTGTCAAACATTTCAGGTGCACACACACATTTTTTTAGGACACACATACATACCACACTCTGACATCCATACCAACACACCCATACAATTATAACTGCATAATTTATCCAACTGGCTCTATAATACAGCAAAAGCAGAAAACCAGAAAAATGTAAGTATTTGCTTTATAGGCCAAACCTGAGAAAATGGCACCATCATAAATTTATTTAATTTTGAAGCCTTGCCAACAGAATGAAAGCCTATTAACAAAGACTGCATAATTTTATAGTTAAATGGCCCTGGGATTAAAAATGGCAGTTTTAATGGGTTTCAATGAGGACATTTTTGTCCTTAAAGTCCTGAGAAGAACTATTTTTGTATCTAGTATAAAATAGATTTATTAAAGGAAATGAGGGTGAAATATTACAATTCCAATAAAAATACACACCTGTGCCAACATTTATGCAGTTGGCATTAACACAGGCAAAATGATCCGAAAAAAACAAAAATGTCCATAAGGTCGCACAAGGTTTAAATCAGATTCCTGATTGGACAGACGCAGCAAGGGACAGCTGCATCTATCAATTCATAGCTTTCAGTCACGTGACCGGCTCGAAGACCTTGAAGTGCAAACCATCCATAGAACTGCAGGACAAACCTGTCAATTTTCCATCTGTTTCTCACCTCTCAAAAGAATAAAACAAAGGTATGTGAACAAAAAGTTTTGGCCATTTGCAATCCATATTAAGCACCCTCGGCAATATTTCAATAATTAAACAGTGCGACAAAACGTTGTAAAAACACTTAAAGTGCCTTAATATATTTAAAAAAGTGATATTCTCTATATTTATGATGCATAGTTTACATAGGCAAGCAGATGAGGCCGGAATAGATACAATTGTAAAAAACAACTTCTCGCTAATTGCTATAACTTACATCGCTAGGCATGTGTTTATATCGACACTAAATTCCTTGTATTCTGTACTTCCGTATTCACGTTCTCTGGAGTGTAACGTTACTAAATTAGGTTTTTCGTTTTTTTGAATTTTCAGAACGATTATTCGTGAGAACTTGTTGAAAACGCAGTCAGGAAGCAAGAACCAAAAATTCACATAGATATCCAACTCCCACGAGAGATACCGTAATTTTATGTATTTATTTATTATTATTAGATTATTATGTTCTTTTTAAACATAAAAATTTATTTAAATCCTTCGATAGCTCAGTTGGTAGAGCGGAGGACTGTAGAGGTTCATTGCTGCCAGTGCCATTTGAATTCTTATATTTGGTTTGAATTCGGCTCGAAGGACAAATTTTGCAACCGCTAAATTTGGCAATGCGTTATATTACAAATGTAGTAATTTGTATTCTCAAATTGCAATTTTAGATACAAGTATTTACGCTTTTATTAAGAAAGCATATCGATGTAAATAAAGCTTTGAATTAATTCATAAGATTATACAAATTGAACAAAAAAGATTTTTCCTCATAGATAGATTTAAAATATATGGACAGCTTGATAGCATGATGTTTAAAGTTTACCAGCCTACATCAAAATAGTAAAATTGTCTTTTCAGCATTCTAGTAATGAAATGCGTTAAGTTCCCACCATAGACTGTAAAAAAACAGGGTTCCCAAATATATTTTGTTGGCACCATAGACTGGTTGGCACAGGTGAAAGAGGGAAACAGCGCCGTCATGTGGAGATACACAGACTTTATGAATTTTTTACCTTTTCTTTCATTTTATGAGGGAGTTTCATTTCAGCTGACGCGTACAGATGATTCATCTTAATGTCAGAGAAAATAGGTGGCTGTGCAGTTTCATTTATTAAGTGGTGAAATGTACTATTACTTACGCAACATTAATTTCATAACACGACAGATGTGCCTCGTGCGATCAACTGTTTATGGTTTATCCATGTGCGACATTTCAAAATGCATAAACAAAATAATCTAATCTCTGTTCAGTCATTAGCGTTCACGGACTGAGGTTGCTAATATAAAGAAATGAATAATTATATTGTAGACGTAACGTCGCACGTAACGTGGGGGCGTGACCAAACAATTCATCCATTCAATCTCTGCTAATGTCCTCTGGTGGTGCATTCAAATGTTTCTCCGGTTTCTCTAAACTTTAATATATTTGTTTATGTCCTTGGGATACCGACAACTGACAGTGTTTCTAAAAAGCTAACGTTCCCGCTTTTCACCCTGTCTTTGTGTTTTAGGTAAGCAATCAATATTGTAATATTTTTAAGTAGCATAAATGTGATACAATGTCTCAAATAAGGCCCCAAAATTACTTGGATACTCAATTCACCCTAAAAATAGCGCCAGTGTCTTCGCATTACATAACAAAAGCAAGCAGCATTTGTTGGAAAAAAAGAAGTTTGTTAGGGTTTAAGTTGTAAATCAATACATTTATTGCAATTCAGATTAAAACAGTGTTTGGACCAGTGTTGGGGAAAGTTACTTTTAAAAGTAATGCATTACAATATTGCGTTACTCCCTTCAAAAAGTAACTAATTACGGTACTTAGTTACTTTTTATGGAAAGTAATGCGTTATATTACTTTCGCGTTACTTTTTAAATATAAGCAGGGCTTGATTGTTTTTAATATAAAAAGTTCTATTTATAGCAAATATAAAAGCCCTTTCACACCAAAAAGTGTAATGAATAAACCTCAGGCTGAAGGAAAAGTAAATTCACGCGTAACTCGCATTACTTGTAATGAGTTACCCCCAACACTGGTTTGGACCATAATCAGTGTTTTGGACACTTTGTGGTTGTCAGACGTTACTGAGCATATTCATAGTTCACTTGGTGATCTGTGATTAGACATTTGTTTGAACCTTAACATCAGATGGTTACAGGTATTTGCAAAATAGTTAAGAAGGGTTCATTTTCAGAAAATGTTTAGCACCTTCTGTTTGCAGATGTTGCTTGGTTTGATGCAGTCAAGTTCATAAATATGGGGTTTAACGCTCAAATTTAATCTCACAATTATATATATATATATATATGTGTGTGTGTGTGTGTGCGTATTTATTGTAAATATATATATATATAATTTATTTGTTTATGTCATCAGCTATGCTGTGTGGTGGAATAGGCATTAGTCACTGAAAAAATTTCAGCAGCAGAATGTGTGACAGAACAGCATCCTGTAAGTAAATGAGCGAGACAACCTTTACATTTACACTTTATTAAACAAGCACAATGTGAGAGGATGAGAAACATTGTGGTGACTTATAGTTTCATATAGTTAACAGCAATGGAGAGACACCCAGATAGAGAGGAGGAGTAAACAGGGACTGAGAAGGTGTACAAGACAGATGTCAATCTGAAAAGAGAGAGATCACAAACATTTGTGGTAGAGACAGAAAGAGAACAAGCAAGCAAAGGAGAGATCAAGATAAAAAAAAAAACGTAGTGCACGCAAGCAGGAGAGGCTTAGCAGTGTACTGCATGAACAGCCTACAAATGCTTTAAAATGTTTTCATAAAGAACAGAGTAAAATTGATCCACAATAATTATTTATATAAAAAAATATATCAATGGGCCTATAACTACATGAAATAGAGAAAGCACATACAATATTAAATATTTACATTTTGTATCTAAAGTATTTGTCAAATCCTTATATACACAAAAATTTAGTCCCAAACAGTCCAAACATGAACGCAACGTTGACAGAACATTGCAGCTGTGCAGATCACAGAGCCGCAACATAATTCCAATGTTATCAGGATGTTGGTGACCGCTTGGGTGAAGTCCCTGTGATAATGTACAGTCTTGATTGTTTCGAAGTGCTATGTGTTGATGTGCTTATAGAGAGAATCATGCACTCCCTTCAGTCGCTCCCGTCAGTGGGATTTTGGTTCTGTAAAAAATGCACAACGTAACAACTCGAAAAAGGTGCAAACAAAAAAAAATCAGGCCTCTGCGAAGTCGTGCTGACCGCTTTGCATCGACCATTTCTGAAAAACACAAAAAAGACGCAAATGAGGCTTCATGAAGTATAAGAATGTGACATAAAGAAAAACAGAAACACTTGAAAAAGGTTATTTGAATAATTTTATTAAATTCATTTATTCTGTTTTTTTTTTCTGTATTTTTCTGTATATTGATCAAATAAATGCAGCCTTGATGAGCATAAGAAACTTCTTTAAAAGGGTCATATGATGCGATTTCAATTTTTCCTTTCTCTTTGGAGTGTTACAAGCTCTTGGTGCATAAAGAAGATCTGTAAAGTTGCAAAGACTAAAGTCTCAAATCCAAAGAGATATTCTTTATAAAAGTTAAGAGTCAACCACGCCTACCTAAAACGGCTCGTTCTAACACGCCCCCACATGTCTACGTCACGATGTGGGAAGATTTGCATAACACCGCCCAAAATGTTCACGCAAAGAAAGAAGGCGTAACTTTAATTCTTGCTGTTGCCGCCGCTGCCATGTTGTGGAGTCACTGTGTGTTTCGTTGTGAAAGCGAAACTACTTTGTTTGGCCTTCCAAAAGAGGACACAACTAGAAATCAGTGGTTAAGTTGTATTTACAACACTGTTCCAGAACAGTTCAACCCAAATATCCAGATGTGTACTGCACATTTTATGGAGGATGAGGACTGTTTCCAGAACCAGTAGCCTACAATGCGTCTGTGGCACAAAGGCTGTTTCTATTAAGAGCTGCTCTGCCTCTGGACTTTTGAGCATGTGGCAGGACTAGACTCCTCGCTGTGTCGTTTTCCTGACATCTGGAGGGTGCTGCTGTGTAGCCCTCGTCCTGAGAATGAGATTTCAAGATTATAACGCTAACTGTAAAATCTGTATGACATTAGACTGCCCTCTGGTTAAATGTGGAAGTCATTACCTGGCTGTACAGCAGGACCAGGTATCTGCTGTGAATCTTGCCTGTAGCACATTGTGCTACTACTGATGCTTGCAAAACCTGTGAGACAAACAATCATGACATGTCTTGCAAATAGAAAAATAACAATGCTGCTGAGATTTAATGAGATATTGTTGATAATTGCAGATATAGGCTAGATATTGATGTGTCATTGGCATAGTGTTTATACCTTGCGGTGGCATGTTGCTGCTTGTTTGGTGGTCTCCTTGTGAGTAAACCATCGTCCTGCTATGCCATTCACCTTGAGAGGTGGGAGGCATCTGATAGTCTGAGATGAATTGAAGAAAATGTATCAGATAACATAGTAGTGCGTATATGTGTTTTAAATAGTTAATTCAGTTTAATTCTTAATTTTTAAAACGAAATTAAAATGAACAGACGTGTCTAATATAGCGTAGCTTGTATAAAATATAGGGAAGCTAGGGAGTGTGCAAACCTGAAGGTGCAGTGACTTCCTTGGTCACATCTCCTGTTTGGAATCCCTTTAAGGTTGTGGAATTCTCACCATTTCCATTAGGGTTGGACGGCACCATTGCCAGCAGTCCTGTTGGGAGTGAAGCATCAGTCAGAGAAGAACGTGAACTCATTCCAGCTTCTCTGCAATTTTTCTGCTAATTCAGGCATTTAATTATATACAATTTACACAACTCCTTTAAAAAATTAGCCATCAATATCCAGAAGCCTATTAGTTCATAAGGATTAATCACATTTACATCATTGTTTTTTTTAGGTAAACGTATTTTGCAGTTACACCAACAATAAATGTTGCAGACAGCATATCCAGAGAGTGACGTATGGACTAGTGTGGCATTTTAATTTCCCTTAGTTTTTGTCTTACCCAGGCCACGGTAGCAGGACAGTTGCTGGTAGATCTGTTTCATACGCTCTATATTGAGGCGGCTTGCCTCTGCGTGATGCACCATGGGTTTGGGGTAGTGTACTCCAATTATACATTTGGCTGCTTTCTGAACGCTTTCAGGAGCATTCCAGGGGTCGTAGATATACTTGGCTGGGAAACCCCTTAACACTGGCAAATAACGCCTTCAAGAGAAAAAGAGAGTAGATTATATATATATATATATATATAATGGGTCGCAATGTCCCATTTCAACATAAACATTTTGTTTGTTGTTTGTGTATATACAGTGGGTACGGAAAGTATTCAGACCCCCTTAAATTTTTCACTCTTTGTTATATTGCAGCCATTTGCTAAAATCATTTAAGTTAATTTTTTTTCCTCATTAATGTACACACAGCACCCCATATTGACAGAAAAACACAGAATTGTTGACATTTTTGCAGATTTATTGAAAAAGAAAAACTGAAATATCACATGGTCCTAAGTATTCAGACCCTTTGCTGTGACACTCATATATTTAACTCAGGTGCTGTCCATTTCTTCTGATCATCCTTGAGATGGTTCTACACCTTCATTTGAGTCCAGCTGTGTTTGATTATACTGATTGGACTTGATTAGGAAAGCCACACCAAAATTAGAGAACAATCTATAAATACTTGATTTTGTTCTGTAATATTGTAAATCTTCATCACTCAAAATCTGAAGGAATATTAGCTGTGGGTATACCACTGTTCTACGAGCATGTTTTACAAAATAACCAGAGAATTTCAACAACAAAAAAAAAACATTATTTTGTGGAAAACACAGTGATCAAAATTAGAGAACAGCAACCGCTGTAGCACGAAAGAAGATTACAACTAAAATTTTGGAGGGTTACAGCTGTCAAAAATGAGTAGTAATTGTAGAGGCCCTTGCTTCGAATGACTTCAGCACATCTGCGGCTGCAGGACATCACTAGTTTCTCACACTGCGCTGGTGTGATCTTGGTCCACTCTTCTTCCAGTCTCTTCCATAGTTCAGTAACTGTGGTGGGTTTCTTAACCATAACTTTGTTGCCAAATTTTTCCAGAGATTTTCAGTTGGGTTTAGATCAGGACTCTGGCCCGGCCATTTCATTATTTCTTATTATTTCTTAGCTTCAAGGAACTGCTTTACCCGTTTTGCAGTGTGATGGGGACATTGTCTTGCATGAAATATGCAGGCTGACTGGGAGATGCTTGCAGGAAAGGAACTGCATATTGCTGAAGGAGGTTCTGATAAACATTTGCATTCACCTGCCATGTATCTGTATAAGAGGCCCAACTCCTGCTGCACAAAACATTCCCCCAACCATGACACTTCCTCCTCCATCTTTAACTGACTTCTTTACGCACTCGGGGTTCAGTTTTTCTCCAGTTTGATGCTGAACATAATGTTTCCCATCTGACCCAAATAAATGAACCTTGCTCTCATCACTAAAGTGAACTTTTGATTGGTTCTCCTTTCTCCACACAACATGCTCCTCAGCAAAGGTGAATCTAGCCTTTTGATTCTTTCTGCTGATGAGAGGCTCAGTCTCTGCAGAGTGCGCTTTCAGTCAGACTTCTCTTAAACGTTCCGAGACAGATCCTTACCCTGTTCAGTGCTGAACTGGCAAGCAATTCCAGCTGCAGTGTTGAACCGATTCCCCATTGAAAGTCATTTCCAAGCACATTTTCCTGTCTTCTCGTGCATTTGGTTTTCCGTGGACGACCAGCCTTTTTGGGAGACTTGAATTAATTAGTGTCAATGTAAATCTGCAGGATTTGAGAAATCACAGATTTGGAAAGCGAAGCCCATGGGACAGTAGCAGTGGAAGAACTGCTGGAAGAAGGAGCTACAGGACAGCCACATCCAGCTTCCTGCATTCATGCTCCAGTCTGCATCCAGCAACAACTCCTCAAAGACCTGTGAAGACACACACATGTGAGTGCTGCCACTGAAGGTCTGTCATATTAGTAAAATATCGAAAATGATCACAATCATGAGCTCTTTATACTTTCATGCCCTCCTCCCAGCTGATCCACAGGTCTCCGCGGGTGAGGAAACAAGCAACTGCGTGCCGGGCTAGATGGTGGATCCAGCCCTCTTGTCTCAGTTGAGTCATGATGGCATCGATCCAGGGGAAACCCGTCCTGCCCTCTGCCCACTTGGCCAAAGCCTCTGGGTTTTTGTCCCACGGGATCTGCACGCAAATTGGATTGCCTTCCATCTTGTCAAAGCGTGGGTTGTTGGTGGCAGCCGTGTAAAAGAATTCACGCCACAGTAATTGGCCATAGAGGGACAGAGGAGGTGAGCTGTTCTTTTTGACCTGTATGGAAAAAGTGTAAATAACTCAGAATTATCATTCAACTCTTCTACATGATCCCTAAGTCAGTTTAACATTAACAACATCATTTGAAGTACAATAAGATACATATGATGACATGCTGACCTTTCTGTAGAGGTCTGTGAGTTTGAAGTAGAAGAGTTGACAGGAGAGGCAACCGAATCTTAAATATGGACTGAGGCCAGTGGGACTGGCCAACAGCGAATTGGCATTCATTCTTGGACGCTCAAAGTTGGCCACCCAAGCCTAGAAAAAAGTTTGTTATGAAAGAATCATTAATTTACTGAGCTAATCAATAAGGATGGCCTGAAATTTGTTGAACAATTATTTAAATGGTAAACATGCACTACTGCTCAAAAGTTTGGGGTTACACCATGTCCTAACTACACGCAACGCAACAAGATTCCAGCGACAAGCAATTTGGCTGTCCACACCAGACGCGACACGACAGAATCACTCAAATATCAGCCATTCAGAAGCGCACTGCACTCCCAACGAAATTGACGTTTATCATCTAATCATCTAATATTAAACCTTTTTAACATTATTAAAAGTAAATACTGAGTGACTGATACCATCTTTGTTATGGAATACACTTGTTGGTTCGCACTGCGTTCACAATCTTAACGTACGTTTGCTTTAATTTTTTCAAGATCTGAGGTAAACTATCTATTGTCGCTTTCAGTATGGCTATAAATGTCACGCAAAATGATAATCAAACTCACATTAGACACATCCTTGCTGAATAAAAGTATTAATTTCTTAAAAAGAAATAAATAAATTAATTAATAAATGACACCAAACTCTGAATGTTAGTGTAGATGGTGAGTATTTTTTTTTAAAGAATAATATATGATCATCTCAAAAGCATCAGTTAAACTAGGTCAGATTATTATCAGCTCAATAAATGTCATTGCTTTCAAGTGTATTTCTGAATTTATATAGTTTGCTTAGTTATATTTATTAACATTTCAATCCTACAGCTGTATACGTGTGATTTATGGAGTGTCTCCAACCTTCCTCTCCAGGTGCCTCTCCAGACGAGTGAGGGCCTCTGTTTCTCCTCCAGGCCACACAGCTGAGGACAGGCCTTCTGTGTCAAAGCCTGTTCCAGGAAAAACATCAACAATTACCCTTTTTACAGTGCAACTTTTAAAAATAAGGACAGTTTGACTGATTCCCAAGTTGTTTAAGGATGCATTACATACTTCATATAGGTGAGTAGCTTAGTATTCTACACTTTTTTGAAAGATAGCAGACTAACCAAGCTCTTCCAAAGAAGGAACCCCGAACTTCTCATCGTGGTCTTCAGAGACCGGCGTGGTGCATGGCCCCATGACTTCAGCTGTGATGGTCTCTGCCGGGGTCTCCACCGCCTCCATCCTGCTGATGAGGGTCTGGAAGCACTTGTACGTGAGCGGAGACTGGCCTCCATTCAGCTCGATGATCCTGAGAGACCACAATCCACCAGTGAGTAAGAAAAATAATCTCAAAAAAATAATGTCTGATCAACTGTTGCCATCCGCCATATCAGACAAGCTTTTGATCTTTTCTAATGTCAGTCTATGGCAGTCCTGTGCGGAAATCTTGCAAATCTAGGACAGAATCTTACAAACGTGAAAATACGATAAAACGTTGCTGCAGAGGGACTTATAATGCTGAAATAAGTCAGCGAGGATACACAAAGATTTTTTTTTATCCTGTTTCCAAATTGTTTCATAAATCTTGAGAATATTATTGTTAAGAACACCTACCTTTGCTCCAAAGTTAATTAATGTTTTAAATTTGAATAATGATTTAGGAAAGTACTGTAAAGCAAGCAATGGCATTCACTTACAACAAATTAATTATAGACCAAAAGTTACAACAAAATCTAATGGATTTGGAAGTACGTACTTGTCCAGATCATAGAGCGTGTGAGAGATGCGAACTATCACCTCCACACCTGCCTCATTGGCCAGCTTCTTGATTGCTGCATCTCGCTCCTTTCCAAATGGCTCTGAGTCATACTCGTAGGACAGACGTGTTATGTTCCACTCCTGGATGCGTTACAAAATCATACCATTAGGGGGCTTAAAATAATCACCCATAGACAATAGTGAAAGAGAGAGCCAAGTCACAGCTCATGTGGAAGATTAAATGGAAAATGTCTTTTTCTTTTTTTTTTTTTTGCTTCAGTCTTATTCTTTCTAATCCAGGATATTTCATAAATCAGAAATGTTATCCAGATTCAAGATTATTACTATACTTAAATATAACAATTGTCAACTGAAACCTTAAACAGCCTGGGGAAGACATCGGTGGGTTGGCCACGGATAACGAAGAGTCGTGAGTTGAGTTTGCGGAGGCTGGCGTCCAAGTCTTCCAAACACTGCAGTAAAAACCTGAGCAACAAGAGACATGACATGTATTTATAGCAACTTACTGACAAATAATATCATGCCCATAATATAAGTCTAATAAGAAGATGGTTATACTCAATAACTATTGCGCAACAGAATATATTGAACTGTAAAACATTTCAAAGTGGCAAGGCTTTGAACAAGTATAGGGTAAAAATAGGAAAAAATAGAAACTATCTGCTGACAGAATAATTGCTATAATTATAGATTATTACTTGCTGAAGCTACAGTGCATTGCAAAATGTTTCAACCTCATCGAATGTTTTACCCAATTTTTTGTTATTTTGTTTTTGACAAATATTATGACAAAATCAAATTTTCTGATATATATATATTATATATATATTTATTTATTTATAAGCACTCACTCAGAATTGATAATTTTAATGTTGCTTTAAATGAAAAATAATTTTCTTATGATATATAAATATTTGTAACTGTATATATAAAAAAATATGCTACTTTTCAATTTGATAAACAAATCATAATGTGTCACAGTGGTAATTGGTTAATTACTCCATTCCTGCTTTTGAAAATGGGAAAACATAGGAAATACAGAACGCCTGAGTCAGTGTGGCAATACTGGCTTGATTACGACTTACAAACAGCCATGCTTACAGTGAAAGAAACTGCTAACTGAACATTGATATGTTTTATTATGCACAGAACTGCCATTAAACAGGCTGCTGCCCTTTTATAACTGCCATTATGCATGCACAGACACTCATTTCATCATTCAAGAGATGCACTCCAATGACCCTGAATTCACTGTTCCAAAGTTGCTACTAACTGCTGTACCTTTCGAAGTTTTGAAATCCAGTGATTATTTCATCCTCAACCCGGTATCTTAAAGAACTTACACTTACAGTTATTCATCCTTGCCATTGCTAGCACCATGTTCTACCAGTTGAGTAAACTGAATAAACTATGAATGGTGCAGTCCTTTGTAAAATTCACAATCCGAATGCCGTGGGTGGTTGCTGAATGATACAAGGTTGCTAATGTGTTGTAAGGGGTTTTTAATGTGTTACTATGTGGTTAATAGTGTTTTGGGTGGTTGCTTACTAGTCCAAGTCAAAAGAGGCCACCCGAGTCTCTTGATATGACTTGGGTGCCTCCTTCAGTGTAAGGCTACAGTGTTGCACTATTTGAGGTATCTTTCATGTCCCATTATTAGTGTGGACGAGTTACCAGCCAAAGTTTTTATATTGCAGTTGCAAGAATTAATGTTGACTGATTTGATTGCTTCATTTTTTTGAAGCACTGAACGGGAATTCAATGATGTGATACATTGAATAATTGAATATTATGTTGATTCAGTAAAGTAGTGAGTTGCCTAAACAATTCAGTCCATGCTCAGATGAAGACTTCATTATTTCAGTCTTATTCTCCCATTGGTAAATTGGGTCATTAAAAAGAACCATGCCATGTGAGCAATTTGTTCAAATAATGTACAGAACATTTCATTTTCAGTGTAGTGTTGTTGAAAAGTGGTGCAGAAAACCCAATGGATCTTTTAAAATAGCAAGCAACAACTTGTTATTGACCCAGAAACCCAGTCCCTATTGTTTGCAGGATCTCACTTAAACTCAAGTGCTGAGTAAGAGAAAAACTCCAGTCTCCAAAGCTAAACTTTCTTCAACCGCTAGACAACCTCGGATACTCCTGGCCAAACTATACTTGATCTCAAATGAAATCTGTCTAAAACTACCTTGTTATCACACACTCATATACACTCACACATAACAAAAGAATGTTGTGTAATATGCATTTCAAGGATTTCTGTGCAGACACTAGCTTAATATGTCTTGGCATGACAGTTTTGCATAATCTTTAGTACTAAAACCTTAATCCATTTGACATATAGTAATTTTTCTCTCTGGACTTTAAAACTAACCATGAGATGCTAAAGAAAGTAGCCTGGTGCTCTACAGAGTGACCAATCAAATATTTATTTAGTGCCACATGGACTACAGTCTGTTTGAGAATGATTCATCATGGTTCTCTGATAAAATGATCAAAACAAAAGCAAGCAATTGAATATAGTAGAAGGGATCTGAGCCATGTCAATTGACAAGAATATCAAAGATTCAATTTTGCAATTTTTCGTTATTTTTCCAATTATGAGTGGCAAAAATTTTGGGAGAAGACCAGATAATATTCCTATACTTTTGTCAATGAAATCTCACTGAGATATTCATTAGTATGTTGAAGTTACACAAAAAAATCAAACAGTCTTATCAGTTAGCTTATTGGTTTCGATAACCAAAATATTGATACTGCCTGTAATACTGTAATGCAGCATCATGTAAACAGGTTTCATCTCTGTGTGGAGGAAACATCATGTGTTGGAGTAAGACCAGTCAGCCATTTGTGTAGAGTTTATTCACTTCCATTCAAAAGTTTGTGGTTGTTTTTGAAAGACGGCTCTTCACCAAGGCTGCATTTTATTTGATCGAAAATACAGTCAAAATAGTAGTTGTTAAAGATTATTACAATTTAAAATAACGGTTTTCTATTTTAAAATGTAATTTATTCTTGTAATGCCAAAGCTGAATTTTCAGCAGCCATTACTCCTGTTCAGAGTCACTCGATCCTTCAGAAATAATTCTAATATGCTATTTGCTACTCAAAAAACATCTCATAGTCATAGTGTTAGTGATGTTAAAAACAGTTAACATTTTTGAAGTTTTTCGAAATCCTGAATTGGAAAAAGATCCCACATTTTCAACATCCTCTCAGTTTCGGACCTCACTGTATATCATTGTTAACAGATGATTCATGCTGCACCAAAACATCTGGCCTTTTATTTCCGTACTGTTGTACGATCCTGCCTGCTCGCAGGAAATGTTGTCCTCTACACGCAGTCAGTGATAATGTGTAAATCCCTGTCTAAGCCGTAGCCTCCCTCTCCGTTACCGACTCACCGCTGTATGATCGGAATCAAAGACAATTGTCTCCCAGTCATCTGATCCAGTGACACACAAACAACTCGGGTCAGACAGAACACCACAGTATCATGTTATATGACAAACTGCATCATTGTTGTAATGATTGCAGAGATAATATAGTGCATCATGTTCAAATGTGAAATTAAAGTGCATCAAGTTTGCGGTGTATGTTAGCAGTCAGTTTTACGGATGTGCACTACAATTTTTATTTTTTCCAAAATCAACTAGTTTACCAAAGCCATGCATAATTATTCTGATTTCATTCACTTGTTCCCTAATTAGACAGATTTTACAGAGCCAGTATGAGATAAATACACCTTCAGTAACCAAGCAAGCATAAAAAAAATCTACATCCTGTTTTTAATTAGTTTATTATTTTATATCTTGTAAATGTTACCATCTTTCCCAGTTTATGTAAACTAGGTGGGTCCTACCAGAGCTTATTTTGATTCCATAGTGAATAAAGTAGGTCACCACAGCTGAGCACATTACTAAGCATTTTGTAGTAGGCATTATGATCACCCTCTATAACACACTGACCCATTTCCCAACACAATGGAGACACAAGTGGGTGGATGAAGGTGGGAGACACTAAACGCTGCTATATCATCACATCATCCAGCAGTAGACCTCACCTCGAGTGTGTGCCAACATACATTTACAGAAATGGACACACATGCACACACACACCACATGCTATAGTGATTAGATATACTGCACATGGTGTAAAAAGCTTTTTAATACAAGATGTTTATCATTTACTCATCCTCATGTTGTTCCACATCCATATGACTTACTTTCTAACGTGAATCACAAAAGGAGATATTTATAGAATTTCCAAGCTGCTCTTTTCCATATAGTCAAGCAAGATTTTGAGTGAATATTATATTTCAGTCTGTTCATCCCTCAAATCTATTATAAGACTTATATATAGTGATACATTTTTGTTCTTTTTGCAGCTTACAGTCTCAAGTTCCCATCCACTTTCATTTCATGGAAGAGCGCATTTTTCAAAACTGTGTTGGAACTTGGAAAGTCAAACTGTTTGGAATGACATGAGGGTGAGTAAATAAAGATATGTATTTGTTTACGGATAAACTATCCCTTGAAGAGTTTAAGAGATGTATAGTAAGCAAGCATGGGTGTGGAAGACTGATGTAAGGGTCTGTGTTATGTAATACTGCTTGTAGTTAAGAACACAAAACAGAGACTCTGTTACTAATGCATTAGTGTAGCTTTTTGTTTGTGCGAATTCTATGAATATAAAGTGAATGAATATAAATCTCTTCTTTAAAAACAAGAATTTAATCTTACAAAAATATATATTTTTAATATTACTTGAACACTATTTCAATAGTCTGTCCATTTCCAAAAAATAAACCTCCATGTGCTGAGCATTTAGCAGCATCTCACTGACAGTTTAGGCAGTTGAGTTTTATCTAGTATAATTTCCTGTGTGTGAGCTCACTGGGAAACAGGGTACAAAAAAAAGTTTATGAACACACATTAAGAAATTTTGGCTCCTCTTTGAAAACCAAAATAGCCTTACATAGAAACCTTGACTTGGTTTAAGTCAGTGTTTTAAACTGGCTTACTTGCAATGTCATTCAGAGAAGTGCCTTGCCACTGATGGACAAGCGGCATCTGTCAATAGGACCTTGCTCAACCAGTCAGTAGACTCAGCTAATTACAAAACATACTAGTTTCTCCTCTTTAGTAATTCAGATAGTATGACATAATAATACTCAAAGGTGAAGACATGCATTGGCTGCAATCAGTCACTCATTTGATCTCTAATCAGTCTGTAAATCCACTAACTGGCCACTGATAAATTGCCAACACTTGCAAAATGGCTTCATTAAAAGTCTGTCAGTCCAATAAGTTTTGTTATTACTATACTGGTAATAGTTTACGTTAAGAGTTGTATTATTTGTATTATAACACATTTTTTGAAATGCATATTTAAACTAATAGAGGTTCTGCTATATATGTAAAAGTATTTTGATAATGCACTTTGATCTTATTGCATCATTGTAGTGATGTCATTGTTACAGAATAGATAGATAGAATATAGTAGTAGCTGTAGTAGATTAAAAAGATTATAATAGAACACATTAGAACTAGAATTAAACTAAATAGAATAGCGTACAATAGATTAGAACTGAATATAATCCATTATGATAGATAAGATGAGAAAAGACAAGAACAGAATAGAAAAATAAGAGTAGAATAAAAAATAATCAGTGGAATAGATTAGAATAGAACAATCAATAGAAGGAATATATTACACTTAACACTTTAAAATAAGTTTCCATTTTTTAAACTACATTAGTTAACATGAACTAACAATGAAAATATAAAGCATTTATCAATTTTAGTTAATGTTAATTTCATATTATTTAATGGACCTAAGTTAACATGAACAAACGATGGACATTTGTATTTTTACTAAACATTAACAATTAGCAATACATTTGTTTCAGTATGTATTAATCTTTCTATTGCATTAACTATCGTTAACTAATGGGACCTTATTGTAAAGTGTTAGCAATACATTTTTTTAGAAACAGATGATTATTAGTAGACTACTCTAAATAAGATTTTGCAATGCATTCCAAGCACAGATATGTTATTATTTGGCGTCCCGATCTATTACCTCCACCTGCTGATCCCGACGTTCGAGGATCCGGCGAACCAGGGGTCCAGGATGTACACACAGCGGACAGTGTGCGCTTCCTGGATGGAGTCTCTGAGTGAAGGATTGTCGTGGAGCCGCAAGCCCTTCCTGAACCAGTGGACCGTATTTACCACCATTACTCCACTCAAGTCCCTTCAGACGTTTGTAGTATGCTGTGCTGCTACGATACAGACCTCCTTCGCGTCGCTCTACTTCACACTCCAAAGAATAAACTGCTTTCAGAAGCGTAAAAACGACAAATTATCCAATAAAGTCAATATGTATGCGTGTTCAAATGATTCAGGATTATATCCGGGAAAAAAATAGTTAGCCTTGCTCTAACAAAACACTTTCCATCATCACGTCTAATGATTTGGAACACGACCACAGTTGAAGCATTGGGGCAAGCGCTGGTTATCCGCGCAACAGCCGAATACACGACTGGCTTTAGGACCAGGACGCAACGCAAAGTACACTTCCCTGTTGTATAACTTGTTTTCCAGAATTATCCAAAATAATCAACAATACTGTACATGTTTTATATCTCGCCTTTAAAGCAAGTTGACCTGTGAGTTGACTTGAATCTCAATGCGCGCAGCCTTCCAGTTGAAGTCAATACGGAGTAAGACGCGCAAACCCGAAATCAGCGCGGTTATGTAAATATTAATATTCCCTCGAGCCCCTTGTAACCGAGTTACAGGCAACTTTCGCAAAATAAAGCAAAAGCCCGAATGAAATGAGACCTCATATTAGGTATTCAACGTGTCTTGGCTGTTTTCCCTCAACGTTACGTCCACTTATTAATATTTTCCCACGGCGAAGGTCCCATACACTCTCAGCCATGCAATCCAGTCGGTCGACTTAAACTCCACCTAGTTGATTGCGCACATGAAATAGCGCGTTTTGTTTGGTCAAGCCCTAGTGTGACGTACTTGATCCTCAGTCACGTACCTTTGGTGTGATTAACTAACACTAGGCTTGTTTGAGATGCGCCTCGCCTGAAATGTAGGTGAGAGTAGGCAGCTGCAGTGAGGGGAGTATGGCGAGTGATTCGTGACTTTTCTAAGCTAAGCAGGAGAAGGAGAAGGAGAAGGAGCAGTCTACCCTTCCGTCGCCGCCAGTCCGTGTAGATTTTTGAATGGGATTGTTTATTGTTTATACATTTATTAATGTATTTTAATAGTGTTGATCAGTGGCACAGACTAAATACTGGGTGTTTCAGAAGCCCGCGAACGTGTGACAGCGGCACGACCTGCGGAGATCTTGACTTTGTTTAATTTTCGCGCATTTCAAACAAGAATGATTATCACGTCTAAGGCTGGAATTATGGCACATTGTAACGCTGGGTTGTGTTTAGCACGCAGCTGTTGGCATTTAGCAAGCACAGAGGGGGGGCGCATTAGGTGAGCAAGCTAGTGAAACGTTGCACGCGCAAAAGAGAAGGTCTGCACACATCCAAAAACGTATTTTAAATGCTAAATTGATTTCCGTGCGCTCGAAAGACTTTTTTCTTTGCGAAACGAACATTTTCTCCACAAACTCAGATCGCGCGTGTGCAAAATGCACTTTTGTGCGCTCAAAATATGATCTTTCGCGCGCAGAATTGTGGCAGAAATGTAAGCCCATACTGCAGTACCCGGATGGGCACATGAGCAGCTACATGAGCAAGCTCGGCTCGCATCAGCGCGATGTGTTTTTCATGAAGCGAGATGGTGTTGAGACGTGCTGTTAAAATCGCAGTTTTTTTTTTACAAGAAATGTCCGCAGACGGCTTTTTTGGGCTTTCTTAACACAATAACGACATCAGTGATCTGCATGAATGCTATTCTGGTCATATTTCGTACATCTCTGTTAGATCATTTTTAAGCAAAATTGCATTTTGTTTACTATGCAGTTGTTGATTATTCTAGCTATTTAATATAACAGATATTTGCTTATACTGCAAAAGACAAAATAATAATGATCCTGTAAATATGCTTAAACCAGTACCATGTATTGTCGTATCAAGCATCAATGACTCTTTGCCCCTGGTTTGTTTACAGCCCACAGTCATGGGGGGAAAAGCCACCACATATTGTAGGGTCCCAGCATACTCTGCACATTTGAGTTTTGATGCTCCAGCTTTGTCACCAGGGACAATTAAGGTGGTGGTTCTCAACCCCTGCTGCGCTGCACATTTTGTTTTTCTAATTTAACGCACCTGATTCACATCATCAGCTCATTAGAAGGGAGCTCCATGAACTGAACCGAGTGTGTCAGATATGAGAGACATACAAAATGTGCAGAGCAGTGGGTCACAAGGAGTTGAGAACCGCTGAATTAAGGGATGCATTCACACCTATCAAAAGCAGCCACTAGACACATATTGTGAACCAAGGATGTGTGCAATTTTGAACAAGATCATTTGTATAATTTCAGTCATTTTGCATTTTAGTGTATGATATGCAACTTTTTTTTTGCAAGGGCTGTTTAAGCTTTGAGCACAGCTGTATTTAAAGAGTATTATTTGTTGATCATTAGTAAAGAAATACATATGCGCATTTTCCAACATTTCTTTCAGTTCAGACCTGCATCAGTGGATAAGCTTTGATGTCCTTGATGTGTTTGATAGAAGAGCATAGGTAAGAGAAGCATAAAATCAGAAGAGCACCTGTTATTAAAGGAATAGTTTACCCAAAAATTAAAATTTGCAGAAAATGTACTCGCTCCTGCAAGATGTAGTTTGTTTCTTCATTGGAACCGATTTGGAGAAATGTTGCATTACATCACTTGCTCACTAGTGAATCCTCTGCAGTGAATGGGTGCCGTCAGAATGAGAGTTCTGGAAGGCCTGAGGGTAAATACATTTCCAGCAAGTTTTTATTTTTGGGTGAACTATTCCTCCGTTTAATCTCATTTTAACTTGTCTGCATTCACACTGCCTATAATTCAGTATGTTATGAAATATTTGTTAAAAGCATTTACAAAGTTCATTTTGAACTCATTTTTTAACTGATCTGATTCAGAATAAATAATGGTCATATTATATAGTTAATGATGCTGAAAAGCAAATGATGAAAGCAAATAATTTGAAATCATTTTCAGTTACTGCCTCACCATTTGAACAAGAATGAGTTAGTTTTTCCACATTCCTAGATGTCAAGTATGAAAATGTCCAATCTATTTAAAATATAAATATCTATAAAATATCTCACCATCGTTTTTCTTTCTATGCAACATCATTTATGTATGCATGTTGCTGTTTCAGCAAAATGGTAGCTTGAAAAATGTCTAAATGTGTGAAGTTACTTATGCAATTCATCACTAACCATATAGCATGAACCATAGAATTTGTATATTAAACCTTCCAGAGGAGGAATGAATCTGGAGATCTAGACTTAATTACAGATTTCTTATTATACTTGTTCTTTTTGTCCTGATATAACCGTAATGGTCTCTGTGTATCCATAAGATGGAATTTTTATGTAAGTTATACATAGGCACCAAATATATTGTCGCCTTTGTGTTTCCAGGCAACAAGCAATCATGGAAGAACATGTGAAGGAGAAATCTCAATTAAGAAAGGCCAACCTCTGTATCCCAGCCTGCCGCTGCTGTGCACTAATTTATTCAAATGCACAGTGCATATATAAGGTAATTAATATAATATGGAGAATGGATGAAATGTGATTAAAAGCCTAATTGTTTTTATTATAGCTAAGACTGAATGCTAGTCAGATAAATCTGTGCCTTTAATAGTGTAAAACACTACAGAACTAATAGAATTAATTTATTTCTGTTGAAAATTTATATTTTATTGTACATTACTGATTTAATGAAAAGGAAATTAGATAAGGATCAGATAAGATTTTAATAAGAATATTAGACTGTTACATTTGATGCAACGGAGACTCAATGTAGATTTTAATACAGAAAGCACTTTTTTGATAATGACTAAACTGTGCAAGGCCTTTTTTGTAATAAGCTATATATATATAATAAGCAAAATATCTTTATGTGTAAAAAGGTAATAATGGTCATAAACAGGAAGTTTTTTTTTTTTTTTTTTTGCTGTGAACACTGAACCGTCAAGTGGAAATCACAGGTTCTGTTATACAATCTTACTGTCAAATTATTTTGCCCCAATATTCACAAGCCCTGCTAAATGTATTCCATCTACCATCTTTAGCGTATGTATGTACATCTAGTGTTTTGTATAATATTTAGTAATTTTCTCGATGAGTTGTGGTATTATTTTCTGTGTTTGTTCTGTCACAAATCTAAGAGGAATATCAAGTACAGAATAAAGGCTATTACTCGATATCACCTATAGAGGGCACCAAATACGCAAGAATTCTCCATCAATGCACCAAACGTCGCTTTCTATGCGTATTAATAATGAACTTGATAAGGAGACAGACTGCGAGGCTTCTCACGTCAAAACAATTAGTTTCTTTTCATGCCAGAAAACTTGCATAATTAAACACACAAAGTCTTTGGACGTTTTTAAATCCGTTCTCGTATATCGTGCGTGTTCCATTCCAGAACTTTTTGACAATTCTGAAGTAATTTTAGACGGATAGAGACAGATGAAAGGTGCAGAAGCTGTGCAAGCGATTGCTTTCATCTACAAATTTCAGAATCATCGCGTAAACATCCTCCGGCTAAAAAGAAGCATGTCGAGTTGGTAAGAGAGAAGAGTGTTTAAAAGATATTATGAGGTAGGCCTGTATCTTGTTCCATATATATATATATATATATCATATAAATAATTATTACTAATACTGACATCATTGATCATTTTATAATATTCTAACAAGATGTAAATAATTAATAAATATTAATATGTATTTAATTATTATTTTTACATATATGCAGATACTGCTAAATATATTTTTCATCAAAATCTGCAATTTGCTTATATATGTGATGCCTTGTTTAGCTATACATATTTATATAATAGTTTTAATATTTGAAGACGCTATTAGTTTGAGACTAAAAAAAGGCACCCATGCACCTTTGGAGCCTGTTGAATTGATCATAAGTTATTTTCTATTTGCATAGACCCTCCCTCCTTGGGAGTGATTTATATACATAGCCCCTCCTCATATGAGTGGTTTATTTGCATAGCTCCTCCCCAGATGATGGGTTTTGCAGTGAATGATGCAGTGGTTGATGAAGGCGTTCTGAGCTCTCGAATTACGCACGCAAAGTTGGGATCACAGGCGCGCGTTGGAGATATTTTTTTTTTCTGGTAACTTACCAAAACACTAAACGAATTGTTACTGCGCGCGCTTGTAGATTTGTGTTTGCGCGTGAAATTAGGTGACAATACATTCATCTACTGCTCCGAGCACAGGGCGCGCCACAGGAACGCGCTTTGGTCTTTCTTTAAAATATCAGGCATAAGCCTAGCATTATGAGGTGCAGCCATGGCAGGCAAGGGTAAGACAGCTGCGAGGACGCTGGAGGATTTAACGCTCGATTCCGGTTATGGTGGAGCGGCGGATTCCTTCAGGTCGTCCAGCGTGTCGCTCTGTTGCTCGGACACGCATCTGTCGTATGCGCATGGGGGCAACTGCTGGCATCTGACTGAATCCATGCACAGCAGACACAACAGTTTGGACACAGTCAACACCGTCCTGGCGGAAGACACGGAGATCCTGGAGTGCTCGGGCCAGTGCGCCAAATTGCCCGAGCTGGAGGAGGACGTGCCGTGGAGTCTTGGAGAGGTGGAAGGCGCGCTGCGCAAAGACGAGGAGCTGTGCATAGGGAACGCGTCGCGGGAGATCCTAGCCAAACTCTCCGCGCTGGTCAGCCGCGCGCTGGTGAGGATCGCCCGGGAGGCGCAGCGCCTGAGTCTGCGTTACGCCAGATGCACCAAGCACGAG